TTGCTCTATATTCAGTACCAGCAAATGATAGAAAGTGGTGCATTAGGAGCTAAGACTGGACAAAAAAAATGTATTTCTTGATTTTAATTCAATATAATTTTTTATGAAATTATATTGATTCTTAAAGGTACACTCCACTATTTTTGAAAATAGGCTCATTTTCCAACTCCCCTAGAGTTAAACAGTTGAGTTTTACTGTTTTCTAATCCATTCAGCCGATCTCCGGGTCTGGCGGTTGCACTTTTAGCTGTAGCTTAGCATAGATCATTGAATCTGATTAGACCGTTAGCATCTTGCTCAAAAATGACCAAAGAGTTTCTATATTTTTCCTACTTGACTCTTCTGTAGTTACATCGTGTACTAAGACCGACGGAAAATGAAAAGTTGCGATTTTCTAGGCCGATATGGCTAGGAACTATACTCTCATTCCGGCATAATAATCAAGGAACTTTGCTGCCGTACCATGGGTGCAGCAGGCGCAATGATATTATGCAGCCTCTGAAAATAGTCCCCAGCTATAGGTAACTTCCAATAAGCCTATTTTCAGGCGCTGCGTAATATCATTGCCCCTGCTGCACCTTAAATCCCAAGAATCGATTAGTCTAGCCTGCTTTCAGTTAATGAACAGAACATTGTAGCACACCTCCCATCCAGTAAATCACAATAAGCTTTGTGCTTTGTTACTTTTAATGTGAAAAAGTCTCAGATTTCAAAATCTGTCCATTTTATTACAAAATTCAAATAAATGCTGTTTTGGAGTGACAGATCGCTGTAGCGCCTCAGTTCAAGAGAAGTGCAGCACAAAGCACTCATGAACTGATCGTCTCCTCCACTTTAATAGCAGTTACAGCATGAAATAAACATGAATGAACACCCGAAGATATGTTAAAAGAAAGAGTACAACTTACAGAAATCGCTCAATCAGTGTTTCAACCATGGAAAGACGTCAGTAAAACAGCTTGTAAACAATATGCCACATAACGTTACATTTACCTCAGAAAAAAAAACCTATTTGGTGGCCATAAACTCGTTAGTCAGCTAGAAAAATGAACTCGAGAGAAGCATTTTGCTAAATATATGCACCATGTAACATATTGTTTATAATTTTTACTGTTTAAAAATTTAATTTAATTTGTTTGAAAAAATGTCAAGTTTTTATGACAGCCACCATTTAAAAGTTTATATAAAAAAAAAAATGAATTGTAGAAATATAATTATGTAATTGTAAAGTTAGTAATGTTATTATTATAAAATCATGACTGTTTTGTCAATACCCAGCCCTATTAGGAGCATATAAAATAATATGCTTCTTAAAACGTGTAAAGCTGTATGTAGTGACTACAATTTCGATCACATAACATTTTATTTTATATTTTATAAATGAAAATAGTTCCAAATGATGCCAAAGAAGAATATGTTATATATATCACAGCAAACACAGTGGTATTTTCTCAGAGTGAATCAGTGTTTTTGAATGAATTGTTTGTGTAAATGATTTATATTATATTATATTACATTACATTGTATTATATTTAAAGGGTTAGTTCACCCCAACATGAAAATTCTGTCATTAATTACTCACCCTCATGTCGTTCAAAACCCGTAAGACCTTCATTCATCTCCGGAACACAAATTAAGATATTTTTGATGGAATCTGAGAGCTCTCTGACCCTGCATAGACAGCAACGCAACTGTAATGTTCCCAGACAGAAACGTAGTAAGGACATTGGAAAACAGTCCATGTGACATCAGTGGCTCAACTTCAATTTTGCAACGCTACGAGAATACTTTTTGTGCACAAACAAAACAAAAATAACATAATTTATTTAACAATTATTCTCCCCCAAGCTACATCTTCTGCCATTTTGGAGAGTACCCAAAAACGTAATCGGCGTTGTTTACGTTAGGGGAGAAAGCGCGCACATGAACGTAATCTGCGTAATCAGCGTTGTTTACACTTAGGGTAAAGTGTGCGTATGCGTTGTGATACTCTCCAAAATGGCAGAAGACAGTAACTCGGGGGAGAAGGATTGTTGAATAAAGTCATTAGTTTTGTTTTCTTTGCGCACAAAAAGTATTCTCTTAGCTTCGCAAAATTGAAGTTGAGCCACTGATGTCACATGGACTGTTTTACCGATGTCCTTAATTATATTATATTACATTACATTGTATTATATTTAAAGGGTTAGTTCACCCCAACATGAAAATTCTGTCATTAATTACTCACCCTCATGTCGTTCAAAACCCGTAAGACCTTCATTCATCTCCGGAACACAAATTAAGATATTTTTGATGGAATCTGAGAGCTCTCTGACCCTGCATAGACAGCAACGCAACTGTAATGTTCCCAGACAGAAACGTAGTAAGGACATTGGAAAACAGTCCATGTGACATCAGTGGCTCAACTTCAATTTTGCAACGCTACGAGAATACTTTTTGTGCACAAACAAAACAAAAATAACATAATTTATTTAACAATTATTCTCCCCCAAGCTACATCTTCTGCCATTTTGGAGAGTACCCAAAAACGTAATCGGCGTTGTTTACGTTAGGGGAGAAAGCGCGCACATGAACGTAATCTGCGTAATCAGCGTTGTTTACACTTAGGGTAAAGTGTGCGTATGCGTTGTAATACTCTCCAAAATGGCAGAAGACAGTAACTCGGGGGAGAAGGATTGTTGAATAAAGTCATTAGTTTTGTTTTCTTTGCGCACAAAAAGTATTCTCTTAGCTTCGCAAAATTGAAGTTGAGCCACTGATGTCACATGGACTGTTTTACCGATGTCCTTGCTACATTTCTGTCTGGGAACATTGCAGTTGCGTTGCTGTCTATGGAGGGTCAGAGAGCTCTCAGATTCCATCAAAAATATCTTAATTTGTGTTCCGAAGATGAGCGGAAGTCTTACGGGTTTGGAACGACATGAGGGTGAGTAATTAATGACATCATTTTCATTTTGGGGTGAACTAACCCTTTAATCTGGTGTTGAATGATTTTATTCTTATTGTAGTGTACAGTTAAGGTCTTTAATTTTATATTCATATATACAAACCTACATGCATTTGCATCTAAAACCCTACTGTGAAATGGTCCACCTCTGGTTCTTTGTGGCTCTTGACATTTCTTAATTGCACTTTAAAAGGCAGACAGTGAAAAACCTCTTTACTCCCTTTAGCACCCCAGAAGTCTCATTTGCATGAACCTCTGTATTTGGCAGGTTCATGCTTCACAGGACACATCAGGATACACTCAGCATGACTCCAGCACGCTTGTCATTTAATTTCAGAGCTGGCAGTGTTCTGTGCAGCTAAACACTGGTGTCTTTACAAGCCTGATTGTCCCTGTCAAGTTTGTGGCACAAGAGTGATACAGTCTTGGCATTCATCATCAACAGTCATTCCAGATATGCCAAAGAATAACTTCAAAATGGCTGTGCCCAATTCGCATTTGTCCTAAATAGTAGAGATTAGAATTAGTGTCCTACATTAAAAATAAGCATTCCAAAGGTGGATTTCGTAAGTGCACTCTTAAAAATTTTTCTTTATTGGAATCTATAGTTCCATGAAGAACCTTAAACATCCATAGAATCTTTTCTTTAGTATTCTTTCTAGTGGAAAGAACCACTTTCTAGTGGAAAAGGCTTCTTGAGATTATTAAAAAAGTACTTGACATTAAGAAAGAAAAAATGGTTCTTTTAAGAACTGTGTATGCATTTCTTTTTTTTTTGGCTATATTATCCAATTTTCAAAATGCAATTGCCAGGTGTTCCAATGCAGAAATGCACACCAGTATAAATCTAAATCGTAACATAGCCAAAGTCTCAAGAAAACTCCTTAACAGTGACAATATTGTGATAGAAATCCTGGTCTAACACAGAACAGCTGGCGCGGCTCCCTGTACAGCGTTTACTCTAAATGCCCATCTCAGGCTTTAAGCACCATGATCATAAATTTATAATAATGTAATTCTTAGAGATGAATTAAGGGTCATATTATTGGAAATTGATGATGCTGAGCCATTATGATGTTTAACAATTTAGAGGAATGGAGCTTTTGTCTTGGCACCTGCGCAAGCACGGCTCCCTAGAGAATTGAACTTGCCGGATGGCTGTCTCTCAAATATTGTGAAGGAATTAATTGTTTCGATTCGGACCAAAGCGCAGTACATGATCAGTGAGGGAGCCATTAATCACACTGAAGCTGCCAGCGCTGCTTTCTCCATTTATACACATATAATGCAACTAGCCACTGTGAAAGCTTATGGAAAAGATACACTTTGGCTGTCTAGTGCATCATGTGTTTCGTACTGTCTGTATAAAGGCACTCAATAATGTGAAGAATCAATGTATGGTCAGTAGTTTAGTTTGTCAGTATGATAACTTGTACATTTTAACTCATTGAGCTCCACTTGTCGCTGACAGTTCTGTATAATTTGGTACCGGTGATGGATAACGCTATTAGAGGTGTGAAAATGAACAGAATCAGACGTTCTTTACATGTTTTGAGCACTTCTCTCTTGCAGGCTTAGCTGTTAAATGTGGGGTAGCCATGCAAGCCTAAGGGAAGGGCTACATGACGTCACTCAAGCTAATCGATAAAGGAAAAGTGTTATGACATCACCAGTTACCGTGGCAACAGCAGCACGCAGCTTTTATCTGCTTGGCAGGCTGAGGGGTTGTCAGACAGGGCGTTGCTTTGTTGTTCTCCTCGCCTGCATGGAGCTGGAGTTGTAACGGCTGTCAATGTCAAACAACGACAGTGCCACTTTAGCAGACTAATGTGCTCTATGATAAGCATAGACCAAGGCACTGAGTGCTTTTCAGTGCAAAGAGCTTTCCAGTTGACCTTGATAAGCCAAATTCAAGGTGAAACGTAGATTTTAACTACTTTCATACAAGATCTTGATAATATAAAATACTAAAAATAGCCACATATTAGATTGCTTTGGATTTCACTGTCATTTTTTTGGTTTTCTTGCCAGTCAGAGTATTTGTGTGTTTCAGGGCAGTGTTTGTGCGGTCAGTGCACATGCCACCCACCCGGAGATAAACGCGTACATGGCAAGAACTGTGAGTGTGACGACAGGCAGTGTGAGGACCTGAACAGAGATATCTGTGGAGGTAATACACACAAACACAGACAGCAGGACAAGATACGCATTAATGGTGCCATTGTTGGTCCATCTCTAGATTGTGCTGGTCTATGAGAATCCTGTGAAAAACAGAATGACCCTAGTAATGTAATGCTCACCAAGACTGCATTTATTTGAAAAACAGTAAAAACAGTAATACTGTGAAAATATTATTACATTTTAAAATAACTTTTCTATTTTTGTATAATTTAACATAATTTATTCATGTCATTGCAAAGCTGAATTTTCAGCAGCTATTATTCCAGTCTTAAGTGTCACATGATGTTTTCAGAAATTATTCTAATATGTTGATTTGGTGCTCAAGCATTTATTATTATCAATGTTGAAAACAGTTATGCTGCCTAATATTTTCGAAACCACGATACATTTTTTCCCCAGTATTCTTTGATATATAGAAAGTTCAAAAGAACAACATTTATTGAAATGTTCATTCTTTTTGTATCAATGTAGACATCTTTACTGTCACTTTTGATCAATTTAATGTGTTCTTGCTGAATAAAGTATTCTTTTTAAAAAAAAAAAAGTCTTACCCACCTCAAACTTTTAAATGATATTTCTATATTTCCAATGCAATTTAACAATTTACAAATTCCAATAAAATGGGATTATATGTCTATATAATTGGAAACAAGACAGAAAATCTAAGTAAGAAAAGCATTTTTTGCAGTGTACAGCAACTCTCTGAAGCAGCTGCAGGAATTTATGACAAAGAGTGGTCATTCTGTGCAGGTGACAACAATATCACAAATTCTCCACAAATGTGGTTTGTATGGGAGGGTTGCAAGAAAAAAGCCACTCCTTAAGAAAGGCCACATGCAGTCATGACGGAGCTTTACCAAAACACACCTTGAAG